GTAGTGTAACACATGGTCCATCCTCCATTGTATGACGTCATGTCACAGTACGCCTGGAATGCATTTGAATTGCTTCCTCCATCCGGGTCCAACCAATACATTCCATCCTGATAAATACCCCGGTTCTTGATCTCTTGACAGTCAACGACTGGACCTGGTTACACAGGAAATTATTTTACACATGTTGACCAATCCCTCGACCCCTGATCTTCAAATATTGGATTCTATTTACCCTAGAACGCAGACTAGAAAGCAAGAAGTGATCTATAGCCATGTGTAAAATGTACAAATATTTGTTAACTTTATAATAACACGGAAATAGACGACAATTAAAGTAAGCAAACATTTTTAGAATTATTAATGTTCAGACCAAAATAGACTAATGCCCCATTCACACCAACTAAACTAGTTAAACTAGTTTAACAGGATTACGTTTTGTCCAATTTGTCGATTACGCTTTGACAAATTTCAAATTACCTCAGAACTATATTTTAATCGATCAGGTTTTTACCTCGTTAAGTTGTGGGGTGTGTATTCTTACGGTATGAGCAAATAATTTTTAACTTTGTTTATTTAAACCACTTTTTAACATGTTAAGGGCTTTAGGTACTCCTGTACTGTGTTTTCCGATATGTTTATCTTAGGATGTGGCTGTTCATCGTGGTAAAGTATGATAATAGAAATTTGGTCACTAGTAATGTAGGTGGAAAGTGACCATATCGTGACTACACCCTGAGACATCACAAGTGACCACATTGTGAGATAAACCGGCCATTAACCTGCTTTTATTATTATTTTGAGAAACAACACAACGTTTTTTAATGACTGTATCAGTATCCTAGATCACGCTTCCACCACCTTCCAGCTTGAGATAAAATAAGCTAGCTATTCATATTCAATGGGAAAAACCTACACTTAATCATTAACTTTATCATGTTAATTTAAAACTTTCTTTGTAATATTTTACATTGTCATGTTTCCTTTTGTTCTTATAGTCAATTAGCATTTTGCGTGCACAACATATTCAACTCTGTACTATGTAATTTAAACTGAAGATGACAGAAGATTCTGTTGAAACATGTTTTTAAAAAACGTTGTGTTGTTTCTCAAAATTTTAGCGTTTATGGTACTATCCAGACCTTTTATTATTATGTAAGAATCATGAGATAAATTACCTAGTATTTCGCAGTGCTTTCCACCAAATCCTGAAGCGCATGCGCACTGATAATCACCATCTTCGTACTTGGCCACACATGTTGCACGGTTCAAGCAAGGAGCGCTGGAGCAAGGACTCTGTTGCCGGGGATGGGGAGAGAATTCATGTCATTAGAGTTACGTTGTTATTGGAAAATTAACGCTAGTGTTAATTAAGGTTTTGGAAATTTACGCGACCTAAATTAACGCGAATCGAAGGAAACAGTGCTTTCTAATGAAGGAAATTAACGCGAAAGAAGTGCTTTAATTTCAGGAATGAGGAAAATTAACGCAACGTATTACGACTTGTTGTATTTATCTGAAATGCTCCCTTACTATGGGGAGCAGGGACGGTGCAGTGGTGAGAGCGCTTTCCTCCCACCAAGGCATGTTGCCCGGGTTCGATAACTGCCCGGTGTCATATGAGTTGAGTTTGTTGTTGGTTCTCGCCTTGCTCCGAGGGTTTCAATGTTTTCCTCCCTCCACAAAA